TTGGTTACTTCCTGTCAACTGGTTGCTTGCTGCACCTCTTTACCTATGTAATGTTATTTTTTATTTATACTGTTTACAATAAACCAAAAACCATTGGATTAAAGAACTGTGTTAGGGCTGAGACACACTGTAACTGGAAACATATAACTAGAAACCGGGTTCCCCCTCAGGAAATAATGTTATCTGCATGTTCACAATTTGATTAAATATCCTAAAACAGTGTGTTTTTATATGCTAGAATTGTAATATTCTCTTGATGACATTTCTTCAATGAATGTGGTGACCTTCATCTTCTAAAAAGCTTTAGTTTGAATTTTATTTTGTCCACTGTGAAGATATCTAAACCTGCTTATTTCACAGGTCCATATATTTGATTTACTGGTTTCCATCCTTTTACTTAAATGTGATATCTATTGCTAATGGCAATATGCATTTACTAGAGGCAGTTAAATAAATGATGGATTTTGTTTTTTAAGTCAATTGGTTTGTTCGTCACATTAAACAAACCAATTGAACAAAATTGAAAGACCATTGAACTATACATGAAGGTTTTGTATTTTTATCATTTTGTTGTTTTACAATGGGAGATGTCTCTTTGGAATTATTATTTACTCATTTGCTATTGATCATTAATTGCCCATGTCCTTTTCAGTTCATCCTTTTCTGCAGTCCAACTAATTTCTTCCAGCATGACCTGTAGATCAGGATTACAGATCATAAATTACTTTATTCGGTCTCTATTGTAGATGATTTGTGCTCTTCTTTCAATTTGATAGATAGTTTTCTGGTTACAACAGAATGAACTGGAAGTTCTTTTCTTTTAGAACTATAAATTGGATTACAGATTTCTAAGAACTCAAAATATTAAAGTTTTCTATGCAACAATCTTGCATTATTTTAATGAGCCCAAAGATTCAATAAACAGCACCCTTAGTACTGAGAAGAAATTTCAGAAGTAATTTCAAAAAAGTGACTAAGTAATAAAATAACACATGCAAATCAATAACCTTCCTATATACTAAGCACAGAACATAGTAACAACATATGAAGAAGCCAACATACCCAGTTTCAAATTATAGCACCAAGTCATAAAATTTCAAACATTGGCATATAAAGTTTGACCTGGCATATAAAAGGTGCAATACTAAATGAAAAATAAAAGAGAATATAAGAATATAAGATGCAGTTTTTAAAACAAACAAATATACCCACTAGGTTTTTAGAAAAGGAACAAAATAATACATTGGCACAAACTCAGCATCTTCAACTAGTGGTGCCTGAAATCCTGGTTTAAAACTTGAAGAAAATTAAAACATACCTATATCTCACTTTTCACAAAATTCAGCTTCCAATGGATCAGGGACCCCCAACATATGGGCTGATACTCTGCAATTGCTGGATAAAGTAAGAAGTGGGTTTTAACCTAGATGCCCAGGAATTGACATTCAGCATAAACTCCCATTATACTAACACTCAGCTGACCAATTAGCAGTTGGAACCTCATTACTATTGCACAGCAAAGAACATCATCAGCAGTTGAAGAGGCAACTTAAAAAATGGGTCAAAATTCTTTGCAGTGGCTATATATCTGATAGAAAGATATAAAGTATATGGAGAACTTTAAAAACTAAACACCAAAGAAAACAACTGGTATGGAAGTTCCTTCTGTCTATGTGCTGCTTTCATTGGTTAATAAATAAAGAAACTGCCTGGACCTGTTGATAGATAGCACAGAACTTAGGTAGGCAAGGAATACATAACTGAATTCTGGTAAAAAGAAAGCAGAGCCAGAGAGATGCCATGGATCTACTGCCAGAAAAAGACATGCTGCCGAAACTTAGCCAGTAAGTCAATGCCACGTGGCAATACACAGATTAATAGAAATGGGTTCAACTAAGATATAAGAGTTAGCCAATAAGAAGTTAGAGCTAATGGGCCAAACAGTGTTTTAATTAATTTGATTTCTGTGTGATTATTTCGGTTCTGGGTGGCTGGAACAAGCAAGTGGCTTCCTCCACTCTTATGAACAACCAACCAATTGAAAATTGGCCATGGTAAACATGAATTCTCAAAACAAGAAATACACATGGCTAGTTCAAACTTAAACAACAATAACAAAGACATAACTATCAATATACTAAACAATCAGGAAAATACAGCTTAAAATCACTTTAAGATTTAATCTTACCCCCTTTCAGATATGGTAGGATTAAGAATAAATGACCATGAATGCACCCACATGGATGGATCAAAGCAAAACCATTATACACCGATGGTCCTGGTGTCAACTAGTACAATCACTGTGGGACTTGGTCTGGAGATTTCTCAAAACCTGGAAATAGAAGTACAACAAAACCAAACTGTGATCGTTCCTGAGCATATGTTCAAGAGGCAGTAGCCTACAATAGAGACAGATGCACATCCATATTTTTTATGGTTCCATTCCCAACTAGTAGGAATTCAAATCAGTCAAGATGCTTATCAAATGATGGGAAAAATACAGCTCTGATACACATGGGACATTACTCAGCTGTAAATAAAATGAAATCATAAAATGTCTGGGTAAGTGGAATAAAATGTGAACAAATCATATAGGGTGAGAACACTGTGACACAAATATATAATCCCTATATGTTGTCATTCTGATTGACTCTAGCTTTGAAAATACTGTTTTTTATATTTAGCCTAGAGAATCCATGGAAGGCAAGATAATCAAAGGGGACCACTGGAGTGAGCATCTTGAATTGCAATGGATAAAATAAGTAGGAATATTGAGGTGGAAGACTTGAAGAATAAATAGGGGTGTAGGTATGAGTACCTAAGACTTCATAACACTTAACCAAAATGAAAGGTATATGAGAAATCTTTATGAAAATCTACGATCTTCAACCCAATAAAACATCTCAATTTTACAGAATAATATATCACAGTTTCTGCGTGTTCTTTAAAAAAAATAGAAAAATTGCTATAAAAGATGCTCATCTAAATTAGAAGATGCAAAGAGTTGTTGACATACCACTTTAATACACATTTAATTTGCTTTCCATCATTTTCACTCATGTCAATAAAATACCTTTTATTTAAATGTTTAGAAAATAAACTAAGACAAAATAAACACAAAATAACAAAAATGAAACTCACCGACTATATGTTCCTATGTCACTAGCAAAAGAAAAATATCACTGAAAATAAAATACAGTCAGTTTCGCTTCAGGCTTGCCAACCATTTAAAACACATTATTTAATTCTAGCAATTTGGTTTCACAATCCAATCTTAGGAACCCTCATAAAACTCTCCAAAAATTTACTACTGTTATTACAGTGATGATTATAGCCACACGTACTGATGATGTCATGGAAAATAAAGTAGGAATCTTGTGATGAGACATATTTACAATCATGACAGACATACTAGATGGTAGTGCTATTTCCAGCCAAGTTGCAACATTCTAGCAAAATGGAAAATAGAATTGTAATATAAGACGTGTGTGTATGTTCCAAATAATGTTGGCAATCAAAGTTTTCCCTAGTTACTGAATCATTGACTTTATTTCACTCTATTGCATTACTGAGTTTTTTAGTCTATTTTATAGAGGCTGTGTAACTCCTACATAACACTGTATGCCATGGCCTGTGGCTGATCATCTCTTAGAGCATGCTACATATGAAACCCCTAAAGCCAAAAGTCTCTGAGACTTCAGCGATTACAAAAAAGCCCTTCACGTGGCCTGATTTACTGTATCACGCCTATCTCATTGGCCTCACTGGTTTTGTTTGCTTTCATTTGCATTTATTATGGATATATACTCTGTGTATCTTTGAGTATATATCACCTTATCTGAATTTTTACAAGGAGGATCTGCTGTCATTTCTTCCTTTAACAGTTGTGAATATCCAGGGATTATAAATATCAACCAATAAAGAATAGAAGATAAGGGGAAATGTCCTTTCCTATCTCAGACACAGTAGTAGACAATTCCAAGACTCTTTGCAAGTGAACAAAATGTTTCTAGAGTGCTGCTTTCCAGTAGTTCATTAAGATGCATATTTTGAGTTATTTTCCCCCTTTTCCCTTTGAATGCCCATAATACATGTAATCTTAAATTTTATTTAAGATACTATGTCATGTTAACTGAACCCAGCTTTTTGGGACACAGAGAAAGCCTAGTAAATTAAATCTCTTCATAGAAGTGTTGCCCTTCCTTTCAGTTGATTGGAGTTGAGCCTGGGAGGTAGTAGGAAACTTTTAGCACCTCTTGATCCAAGATTATTGCCCTTTTCCTTATGTGTTTGGATGAGGTGCAGGGTTCCTTAGTCAATCACATGAGGCAGGAAGATTAGCATGTACACCAATATGTAAATGTCTATCAGTCCTGAGAATTGTTTAAAGCTAATTTCTCCTGACTGAAAATCTACATTCAAATACTAGACTTGATATTTCTCTTATATAAAGAATTCAGCTTGTAAATTATGTAATATCTTTTTCTTGGTGTTGGCATCTCTATCTTTGTTTTGATTTCTTGGCTTAACAGAAATTCATGTTCGTTAATCTCAGGCAATTCACACTAGTTGATCCCTGTTGTTTGGAAGTGAATAATGATCTGTCTAGAATTGACAACTTCCAAATAAAGCAAAGCAAAATGCCAGATCATATACCCCCAATTCAGCTGGACGATCCTACTGATCTTAAGTCTTCCAAACCGCAAGTGCAGAGGCTGAGTAAAGAAACAATAATGTGGACAAAAATGCAAAAATGCATGAAGATATCAGATTGCACAACTTTATTAGATGAAATTTTCATTTTTCAAATGATCTTGGAGAGAAAGCAAATAGCATCATCAGTACGGAAAGTAGACCATAATTTTGGGTAACCCACTGATGTCATAATCTGCTGAAGTTCAGAGAGGAAGCTGTTAAAGGAAGGATGATATGGTATCAGTAGAAGTTAGGCAGGGAAGCAAGAGCTTTAGAGCATAGATTTGACATAGGAAAACAAAGACTTAGCAGCTGATTCCATAGAGGCCTGATCCACAGATTGGTCTGTAACAAGGTTGACAGGAAAGAGGCATGAAGTAGCTTGGATAGCAATATCTAGATCCAAAACTCAAGGAAGGGAATCCAGAGACTCTACAATTCAGAGATCTGAAGCCACTGGATCCACAGCCCCCTGAGTAGCAGCTCCTAGAACCATAGCCCACGGAACTGCAGCTACTGGATCCAAAGCCCAGAGATCCAGCATATGATCCCCAGCTGGGTCTGCAATGTGTGGAGCTCCTCGGGTAGTAGCAGGCTGTCTGGCAGGGTCTGGACACAACACAGGACCTCTGGCAGCTGGTGGGTTCAATGCAGGTCTCCTGACAGCTGGTGTTCAGAGACGATTCCACCTGGCAGGGGCTGGACACCACACAGGACCTCTGGTAGCTGGTGGGCTCAATGCAGATCTCCTTACACCTGGTGTTCACAGAGGATTCCACCTGGCATGGGCTGGACATCACGCAGGACGTCTGGCAGCTGGTGGGCTCAATGCAGGTCTCCTGACATCTGGTGTTCAGAGAAGATTCCACCTGGCAGGGCCTGGGAGAGCAACTGGTAGTGGTGTAGACCAGGTTGCTGGGGTAGGAAGAGCCACAGGAAGAAGCTGAATATGGCTGGCAACGTCTAAACGAGCGGGAGGAGAGGTTTCCAGAGCAGCAGCTGTAGGCCATGTTGAGAGAAGATGTGAGCTCAGCTGGATGCAACTGAGAGGATTCTGAGTTTGGATCTCACCTTGTGGAGAGCTGAGTTTATATACTCTCAGCCACAGGTGTGGTACCCAACTGTCTCATCCTTGATGCATTTGTGTGCTTCCTGGTTTACAAATGTGGAACAGTAATCTCTGTAATTGTAGCTGTACTTTGAATAGTTTTCTGCACCGTATATTTATGGGTGTTGTCATTTTGTTATATTTATGACAATGAGCTTCTGCTATTTTGGGGATGGCATGATTGACTGTTTTACACTAATGCTTATTCCATCATGTCTAGGAAAATGCTTGATATTTCTCTTAACACAATTTTATGTGTTTTGCCGATGTTATAAAAATAATTTGTTACTATGATAGTGGATGTTCGTAACATGCATTTCTCAAGTTAATGAACTGAGTATTATTTTGAGAATATTTTGGAACCTACAAAAGGCTAACCTTACCTGTCACCATTAATGTTCAGTTTCCAAAATTATTCCACATAGATACAAAGTTTTACCTGTATTTGTCACACAAAGGCACGTTAGCCATAAAGGCCAAGAAAATGTGAGTATGATTGAAAATGGTCAGAGCAAGCGTAGGACAATGATAAGTGTCATGATTCCAAGGAGCCAACATGTAAGAGAATCACAAGTGTAAATCTTTGTGGATTTGAATCAATCTATAAAAGACACCGTAGAATAGAAGAGACGACAAATATTATAGCCAGTGTGTGATAAGGGGACTGTAGTATAGTGGATCCCATCTGTGTGGGATAGGAGAATTGATATACTGGATCTCATCTGTGTGATAGGAGGAATGAGATACTGGATCCCATCTGTGTGGGATAGAAGGACTGAGGTACTGGATCTCATCTGTGGGATAGGAGGCCGGAGTCACTGGATCTCATCTGTGTGGGATTGAAGGACTGAGATACTGGATCTCATCTGTGGGATAGGAGGACTGGGATCCTTGATCCCATCTATGTGGATAGGAGGAATGAGATACTGGATCCCATCTGTGCAGGATAGGAATACTAAGACACTGGATCTCGTCTGTGTGATAGGAAGATAGAGATTCTGAATCCCATCTGTGTGATAGGAGGACTAAGATACTGGATCTGATCTCTGTAGCTGACTGGAGGTTTTCATTATAAATCATTAAGTCACAGGGGATTTATTCACTAGGTTTCTTCCTGCTCACATCTGAAATCCAGCCATATATGTTCATGACTGTGTTTGCCATGGTCTGTTCCAAGTAGTGACTAAGCACAGAGAAGGGAAAGAAATTCCTAATGGGCTGTGAAGCCCAACCTTTGCACAGGTTTTCCCCACCCCTAATGTAAAGATCCTGTATCTTTAATAGGTCACAGGGACCATTTCTCTTCTCTTGAGCTCTCAGTTTGAGGGAGAAGCTGGTGAAGAAAATTAATCCAAATACTTGGAATACTTCAAATTTTGTTTATAATGTATTATAAAGAAAGCGTACTGACAGTGTACAGCACAAAATTCAGGCAGATGCATTCTCTTGGAAATGTTAAGTGGGGCTAACCAAGAAAATGACTGTAATTCTGTGATGATTATTACATCATCTGTAACACTGAAATTCTGTGTTATTACAAAAATAACTACAGGTTTTGTTTTTGTGCCTTTTCGAAATTTATGTCTAAATCGGGTCTGAGAGGTCTATCTTTGATCTTCTCTTTATTGATTAGGCAGATTAGATCACTTCAATTTTACTATTTCATCATTGATTTTTGTTTAACACTTGCACATTCTCAACTGAAGTCTCCTCAAAAATAGCCCCTACTTCCTCCCCCTCTTGTTACTTTCAGACCCTCTTATAAATACGGCGTGCATTCTAACTGAGTTCCTCACATGCTTTCTCCCTTTCAATCATTTTATCACAACCTTTAGTTTGGAAATTCACTTTACTCATAATTCAGTTCACTGTGTTGCAGCTGTGATTAGGATCCTGAAGAAAACCATCCTTTTTTTTTTTCAAAATATTTGCTTTATTTTTATTTAAATTCAATTGAATTATTTTTAATTTTCCTTTCAAGTTTCTCAATCATATCTTTTGTTCCCAGGTGTAATTATTTCTTGAACATAAAGTGTTACTGTGTCATATTGTCAGATTCTTCACATAGGTGTAGTCCTGGATGATGGGTGTGGGTTTTGGAAAATGTGCTGTTAGCAAGTTTCATAATTTCTAATATCAGGGTGTATTTAAACAAATATGGCCCCTTTATCATTAGGCAACATAATAGGACAGGGTCCCCAGCATCCATGCAATGTGTTGCTGACTGAATCAATGCAGTGTGAGACATGACTGCTCTTTGATGTTTCCTTCTGCCATACAAGAGTCCTACTATCCACATTCTAATTTCTGTCACTCTCTTCTGTTTCAGGCTTCTTACATTTCTTCCATGCTCTGAGAAGTAACAGACATTTCACATGGAAAAAGACTTTGTCCTCCTCTAGATATTTGTTGATTTTAGTTCTGCCAGGCTGCTATAATAAAGACTCCCATAGCCTAGATCATTTCAATCCAATCAAGAACTGATACAGGTTAAACTTCAGTTTCTGTCCTGTGTTCTTATAAGGATCTTCCCATCAGAAATTCAGTTTTGCCTGTCAGAATTGGCTTTCTAAGATCTGGGATATTTCTCAGGGCCCTAAGTCTTTGAAAGGCCCAGATTTCCAAGTTTGTTCTGTAGTCTCATAAATCTGTAGAAATTTCTTACAGCCTTAATCACAGATACCCAAATCAGGATATAACTTTAAGGGCATCCCAGCTCCAGATTAAGTAGATCAGTTCTACCTCGTATAAGATTTGTATCATTCTGCAGTGTTTCAATGTGTCCCTGATAATTTGTGTGTGTGTATTCATACATCTATATGAACATATGCATGAACATAAATATTTATATGCTTTTCTCTATTTTTTCTGTTTTCTTTGGGAAATTTAATCAATATTTTAAGCAGTCTGCAAGTAATCGCTTTATAGAACCTTTAAATATTTATTTATATTTACATGACATAGAAATGATTATTGCTGCCATCAATAAGATGGGCTTAATTCTATTCTTTTTTGGCTTAATTACTTCCCAAGGTCTCTCAGGCTTAATATGGATTCAGTTGTCTACGTGGGTGCCAATTTTTGGAGGGGGCCTGCTTGTTCATCCCAGCTGCCCAGATAGCTTAGCCCCAAACTATCCACAAAGAAACTGTATTAATTAAAAAGACAGACCTCTGTGAGTTCAAGATGTGGTGGCAAACACCTTTAATCACAGCCCTTTGGAGAGAGAGAGACAGGCAGATCTCTGTGTGTTCAAGGACAACCTAGTCTACAGAGTGAGTTCCAGGACAAAGATTAACAGAAACCCTGTCTCAAAAAGACAAAAACTTAAAAATAAAAATTAAAAAAAATAGAGTTTAAAATAAAACCATGTAAAGATGAAAAGCACACAGAGAATCTGGGTACTATATGTTATTATGTTCTCTTTGAATTGTTTGAATGCCGAGGAAGGAGTAACAGCTGCTAAAAGATATTTGTTTATAAATGCTCCTGAATTGATCTAAGACAGGTATTTTGAAAATCCCTTGATTTCAAAATTGAAGTCAAAAGGTATGCTACTTTGAAGAAGAGGATTTGCTTTTGTTTCCACAGGAAATGAGAGGCTGTAGATTCATTCTGAGTTAAGAAAAGTTGCATTTTATCAAGGATGACCACCTGAGAAATCTCTGGTTGGAACAGATGGCCCAGATGTCTGAGTTCTACATTTAGAACAGATTTAAGTCTGCTACCTGAGAAGATCAAGACTCACAGGATATTTCAGTCAGTACTTGTTTATAATCTAAATTTTATTTAGGTTTCAATAAGATTATCAACACCTGAAACCAGCAGGAGGTAGCCTGGAAAACTATTGCCCACATCCCCAAATATGGACTATGGATATTTTCCTTTGGTGAGAACATTAGGTACAAGTTGTTATGGCTAATGGTCAGGAGAAAAACTAAACAAATGATATTAGATTTAGAGTTCTTGTTTTTATTTAAAAAAAAGAGTGGGAAGTGGTGTGGGACAATGGTCTGTATTCTGCCAATTATATTTCAAATAAATGCTGATTGGCCAGTAGCCAGGCAGGAAGTTTAGAAGGGACAACCAGACACGAAGTAGAGGTGGGTCAATGAGAACAGAAGAACTCTGGGAAGAAGAAAGTCCAAGTCTGCAGTTGTGACTCAGCCACAGAAGAAGTAAAATTTGACTACCTTGCTGAATAATTTACTAAGCCAGGTGGCTAGCATAGAAAAGACTAATGAGCTAATATAAGTTATGAGTTAATAAGAAGCCTGAGCTTCCCAGACCCAAAATGATGAATATGGTATGTACTCACTCATAAGTGGATTCTAGCCATAAATAAAGGACATTGAGCCTATAATCCATGATTTTAGAGAAGCTAAATAAGAAACCAAAGAAAAACATATAGTTATCCTCCAAGATATTGGAAGTAGACACGATTCCCAGGCAAAAATTGGGAACTTGGCAGTGGGAGTGGGTGAGGGTAAGGGGAGATGGGGAGAGAAAAGTGTGAAGGGTAGGATGGGGAGAGCTTGGGAGAATGGGAGGTTTGGGATGGAGGAAGGGTGAATATGGAAGCAGGGAAATATATATCTTAATTAAGGGAGCCATTTTAAGGTTGGCAAGAGACTTGACTCTAGAGCGGTTCCCAGGTATCCAAGAAGATGTCCCCAGCTAGTTCCTTGGGCAGCTGAGGATAGGGAGCCTGGAATGACCCTATCTTATTGCCATACTGATGAATATCTTGCATAACACCATAGAACCTTCATCTGGTGATGGATGGAGATAGAGACAGAGACCCACATTGGAGCACTGGACTGAGCTCCCCAGGTCTAAATGAGAAGCAGAAGGAGGGAGAACATGAGCAAGGAAGTCAGGACCATGTGGGGTGCACCCACCCACTGAGACGGTGGGGCTGATCTAATGGGAGCATACCAAGGCCAGATGAACTGGGACTGATGGAGCATGTGATCAAACTGGACTCTCTATATGTGGCAGACAATGAGGGATGACTGAGAAGCCAAGGACAATGGCACTGGGTTTTGATCCTAGTGCATGTACTGGCTTTGTGGGAGCCTATTCTGTTTAGATGTTCACCTTCCTAGACCAGGATGGAGGGGGGGAGGACCTTGAAGTCCCCACAGAGAAGGGAACCCTGACTGCTCTTTGGACTGGAAAGGGAGGGGGAGGGGGAGAGGGGAATAGGGAGAGAAATGGGAGGAAGGGAGGAGGTGGAAAATTTAATAATAATAATAATAATAATAATAATAATAATAATAATAAAGCTAAAAAGATGTCTAAGCTTATGGGCCAGTTAGTTTATAATTAATGTAGACCTCTGTGTGATTTCTGTGGGATTAAACAATTGCAGGAACTGGGCAGGACAGAAAACCCGACAACAAATTATAATGAGGGTGCAATCTTAAAGTCCACCACCTTATTGTGATGACACATTTAAAGATTGGACAGGTTCAGACGCTATGGCTATGAGTGCCTGGCTTCTCTGTCTAATGCTAACCATCATCCTTATGCCGCACATCTCTGCTTTCCACAGAGATACACAAAGGTCTAATTTCATGGTTTCACATTATTCTGTTTCCTTGTCAATCTAAATTATCCTTACATCTTTCCTTATTTCGTTTCATATTTATTGTAGCTGTGAATTTCATAGTAGCATCTCACACCTTAACAACCAACATATCTGTTAGCATATCTGTTGCTGGTATCCCATGAGATGACTTGAGTACACCGTGAGCACCGAGACTTCTCGAGTCACTCTGAATACTGAGACATCTTGAGTACACTCTGAAAACTGAAACATCTTGGGTACAGTCGGAACACTGAGATGTCTTGGGTACACCATGAACACTGATTACAAAAATGTCTATGCAATCCTTCCTAAACACCTTTGTTTTCATAAAAGTTTGCTGAAACCTAGTAAAAGAGTTTAATGGAATTGAGCTCAGGTGTGACAGTGGCTTTGTTTCTTCTTTCCTAGCACGTGCACTGTCTGTAGAATCATCTCTTAAACTAGCAGTATGGATTGGAATCCATGTTTAAAAATCATCTTTTGAGTATGTTTGCCTAAATATCTGTGTAACATGTACATGCCTGTGGCATTTAGAAGGAGAGAAGATGATGCTGTGAATCTATGGAACTCTGGTTACAGACAATTGCAAGCAATCATGTATGTCCAGAGAACTGAAAGGTGTTTTTTGGAAGAGAAAATGTGTTCTAAAACATGACCAATCCCTTTAGCCCTTAAATACCTGTTTCAACTCACTTAAAACAAAATTAAGAAAGTTTAGAATGTTTTAAGATTAATTTTTTTAGTTGATGTGTTTATATGTGTGAGCATATGTTCATATCCTTGTGCATGTGTGTAGCCCTCTAGGCCAGAAAAGGGTGTTAGATTCTCTGGCGCTAGAGCTATTTGTGGTTGTGAGCTGCCTGACATGGGTGCTGGGAATCACACTGGTTCTCTGAATGACTAACAAGTGAGCTTAACTGATGACCTGTCTATCCAGCCCAGGAATTTATTAATGTGTTTATTAGATACCAAACAGTGTATCTCTGATCTCATATAAATTTTTAATAGTGGTAACTTGAGAAAAATGTTCAGAATTTATTAAAGGGACAAGTAAGCTTCAGAATGGCATGTAGGAATCTTTCTGTCATGAGCAAATTTTGATCACATGGAGTCAAATGTTCTTTGAATTCAAGAGTTCTAATTTAGTGAAGTATTATGAAAAGAATACATTCTGTGACCCTTACTAGTGTTAAAATAGAATCTCAGTACAAGAGATAATAGCCTTGTTCATGAATATTCCAATCTAAGTCAGCTTTAAAAGCTAGATCCCGGGACTGTGAGCAGCAGATTCATTGACATTTTATTAGGTATATCAGAAGCCATGATTTTCTATGTGGATGGGCTGCTTTGGAAATACCTCAGAGATCAAAAGACATCTTTTCATCATCTACTGATGAGAATATGCAATCAAATTTCAGAGACTTTTGTTTGAGCACCCTTCCAAGTCTGGAGACCTGCATTGAGCCCACCAGCTGCCAGAGGTCCTGTGTAGTGTCCAGACCCTGCCAGACAGTCTGTTACTACCCGAAGAGCTCCACACCTTGCTGTCCCTGCCGGGGAACATGTGCTGGATCTCTGAGCTTTGGATCTAGCAGCTGCCGTTCCCTGGGCTGTGTATCCAGTGGCTTGAGATCTCTGAATTGCGGAATCTATGGCTTCCCTTCCCTGTGTTATGGGTCTAGATTCTACTACCCAGAATACTTGGCTTCTACAACATTCCAACCCTCTTCTTATAGATCAGTCTATGGCATTGCCTTCTAGGAATTTGAATGCTAAGTCTCCATATTCCTATAATATCACAATCAAATTCTCTATGTCCTGTAGATGATTTATTATTCTCATCTTCTACCATTTGTCTTTCTACTAACAATTCTTTCAAACTCATCTTCTGTTAAAATCTTGATGTGTAATCCCATATTATGCCTTAAATTTTGTGCTATTGTTATTCTTTTGCTGTACATTCAAATATGTTTGATAACTAAAAGTTTAATAAATTTATGCAATCTGTGGCTTTAATTCATTGTTCTTACTATTATGATATTGTTATTATGTTTGTATTTATGGATATATGAGACTTCATTAAAGATCAAAATTTATACAATTTATGTTTGAGAATAATTAATTTGGTTGGGGGAATACTCCTTATTTGTAGTAGTTAGTAATTGGAAGAGTTTAATTTGAATGCAAATAAGGTTCATAAATGTGAGTACTTCCTATGATTGAAGTGTATGACTAAAATGTTATTCATCAAGAGTATATTATTATATACTTCATGGGGTTTATGTATATTTTCAGGGAAAAAGATATAAGTCTATTATATAAATATGAGTTTTCAACCAAGAGAATAGAATAGTCAACTTCCGAAGAATTTCAAGACAGATACTTCTTTTTATCTGAAATAATGATATCTCTTCTACCCAAAGTTTATGCACTATTTTTTCCTATTTTCTCAAAATATTTGAAAGGAGAATGACAACCATCTTAAGTGGTAATAACTCGGTCTAGGAATCAAGGCATCTTCATGATGCTTCTCAAACTCATCTTCAGCCAACCTAGATGCTGAATGGTTTTTATTCATTTGTTTTAGTCTGATTGTCAACACTAAAGATTTGGGTGTAGTTTGCTTGCAATAAAAGCCAGGAAAAGAAAGCAATAGTGTATTGTCCATTAGTGTGTCAGCTTGGTCCAGAAGGTAGTACTGGTCTCCTGGAAGAGACCATAGATGACCAGGGATAGGAGCACACAGACTGAAACTTTAGGGCTGTTTCAGTCATGACCCAAAGTAAAATGCCAGGGCTGGGCCAGGGCAGGCATTCTCTTACAGTAGAGTCCATGGGCTGGAGAGCAGGGTTAAAGTACTCAGACTTCAGGAGTTCCACAGCAGGAGATGGAGGGAGGAGAAGTGAAGATCAGATCATAGCTGCCTCAGCAAGGAGCATTCATATCTGCAAAGCCTTGAAAGACGGTAGTAAAGGAGAGTGTTTGCCTATGGAGTTCACTGAACTGGGCTCAATTTTTGGTTGTAAATTTGGTAGAATTTTTTTCATGAAATTAGATTCATCTGTATATTGTTTGTTTGTTTGTTTGTTTTTGTTTTTTTTGTTTGTTTGTTTTTACCAAAATCCCACTCTTTCCCCTTTGCCAATAAATACTCAGGAGCCGGATGTTATGGTGAAACCCTGCTTGTTCAGAGAAGCAAAGTAATCACCCAGTTAACAACATTCCTTCTCTGCCAAAATCCCAGAAAAAGTTACTTTCTCTTACTTCCTATGGTGTCCCAAACAAGACTCCTCCAGCACAGTGCCCCTCCATTCTATTTCCTGTGTATCTCTCTATCCATCCTCCTGACTCCCTCTTACTCTCTATGTTTATTACTTCCTGTCATCAGGTTGATTGCTCTGCCTCCTGACCTATAGAATGTTTTTTTAATTTAATCCTGTTTACAATAAACAGAAAGCTCTTGGATTAAAGGCTTTTGCACTGGCAAAGCCACACCAGAACTAGAAACAGGTTTTTCTAATAAATAAAACAACCTCTGGTTCCAGAGTAAGATCAAACATCCTGAAACATGTCCCCCTTTTTCTAAATGAAAAGGAAAGTTTTGAACTCTAACACAGTAAAACTATTTACAATAATTAAGCTATTCCTGCCAAGATTTAAACAGTGTCTAACTTGGTTGTATTTGGTAGTCTAAGGATTAAGTATTTCTGAGTTCAAAGTACTGTAAAGTGTTCATATCATTCTCGTATGACTCAAAAATCAAACTATTCTGAGCAGTTTGTAGGCAAAAGATGAACTTATGGCTGGTGTTTGTTAGCTTAATCACAATCCTGGATAGGTAGAACACAGTATTCAGTATCGTGTGGTCCTCCAGCAGGAAGGGGCAGGCCCTCAGGCAACATAGTGTTATGGGTGCCAGTGCTAATCTTGGGCTCTGAGCTGGGATTTCAGGGCCATCAGCTGGAGGTTGGTGGGTGATACCATTTGGCCTGTCTACTTTTTTTCTTTGAATTTGTTCCTTGATGATCTTTTGCTTGTTCAGTGAAACATCTCCAGCTTCTTATCTTGATTTCTTGTGTTTATCTGGAAAGATAGAAGGAAAACCCTGCCCCAATCTAAACTCTGGGGAGTTTCTTTTCTTTTTTTGTATATTTTATCTTTCCTATGGAATAAAGATTTTGTCAACATAAAGTATATTATTTTTCAATCAAAAAAATTCTTCTGAAATTTTGAAACTAAACATGCCATAAGTATGCACAGAGAACAGAGAAATGTGTATATATATATATATATATATATATATATATATATATCAGTATATATAGGTTTAAGTGTATTTATTTTTAGACCACAATAGACATTCACTTTAAATTTCAGGCTCCCTTTAACAAGTGCATTTTAAATTTAAAATACTATAAATATTATATGCCTGCCTCTGTTTCACATGTTTTGTGATTAACCTCTTTCTACCTATGGTGTCTTTAAAATATTTATTCTCATAGAGTTGTCCTGGTTTAATTTGGTTCTCCATTCCCCCTGTTTTTCAGTGTTAGGGGTGAACTGTCAACTTTTTCTAATGAGTAATCTATCGTTCTTATGGAATTATATTGAGTTTGTTCCCTAGAAATTTTGAATATTATAGTTTTAATTAACATGATGACACTCTGTCAACTATTTCATTATTCTCAGACATTTTGTTAGTCTTGCTTTTGTGAGCTATATAAAATTTGACATCTTTGCTAAGTTTTGCTAAAGTGTCCCATTTCCATTCATGCCCCCATAACCAGTTGTCCTTGCCATTTATCTGCCAGTTGGTGGTTTTCAATTTTGATGATCATACATAAATACTATTGCACATGCATCATGATTTAGAGAAAATAGAGGTTTTTCCTTTTGTTTTTCTACTTGTTTGTCTTATAGTTAAACGTCCTACTATTAGTTCAGTGTGTTGTGCTGATTTTGTGGTTCCTTCCTCTGTATTGGCAATTTGGTGTAGGAGGATCTTCTTTCTATGTGTTGCTTTCATTGGTCAAATAAAGAAACTGCCTAGATCTTTTGATAGGGCAGAATTTAGATAGGTGGAGTAGACCGAACAGAATGTGGGAGAAAGAAAGCAGAGTCAGGTAGACACCATGAATCTGTGACCTGAGACAGACGTAGGTTAGGATATTTCCCGGTAAGCCACAGTCACGTGCAGGGGTCCTTAGGCAGTCAAACGAGGCAGGAAGATTAGCATGTACACATATATGTAAATGTATATCAGTGCTGAGAATTGTTTAAAGCTACTTTCTCCTGACTGAAAATCTACATTCAAATTATAGACTTGATATTTCCCTTATATAAGGAATTCAGCTTGTAAGTCATGTAATGTCTTTTTCTTGTTATTGGCTTTCTAACTTTGTTTGGTTTTCTTGGCTCAACAGAAATTCATGTACTTTAATGTCATGCAATTCACACTAGTTGATCCCTGTTGTTTGGACATGAATAATGATCTTGCTAGAATTGACAACTTCCAAATAAAGAAAAGCAAATTAATGCCAAATTGTATACCCCCAATTCAGCTGGACAATCCTACTGATCTTAAGTCTTCCAAACCAAAAGCGCAGAAGCTGAGTGAAGAAACAATAATGTGAAAAATGCTTAAAGATATCAGTTTTCACAACTTTATTAGATGAAATTTTCATTTTTCAAATGGTCGTAGAGAGAAAGCAAATAGCATCTGAATATATCATCAGTATAGAGAGTAGAGCAAGCCGGGCAATGGTGGCGCACACCTTTAATCCCAGCAATTGGGAGGCAGAGGCAGGCGGATCTCTGAGAGTTCGAGACCAGCCTGGTCTACAGAGCTAGTTCCAGGACAGGTTCCAAAGCCACAGAGAAACCCCGTCCCTCCCCCAAATAAAAGAGTAGAACATAATTTTGGGTGATCCACTGATGTCATAATCTGCTGAAGTTCAGAGAGGAAGCTGTTAAAGGAAGGACGATATGGTATCAGTAGAAGTTAGGCAGGGAAGCAAGAGCTTTAGAGCATAGATTTGACATAGGAAAACAAAGACTTAGCAGCTGATTCCATAGAGGCCTGATCCACAGATTGGTCTGTAACAAGGTTTAAAGGAAAGAGGCACCAAGTAGCTTGGATAGCAATATCTAGATCCAAAACTCAAGGAAGGGAATCCATAGACTCCACAATTCAGAGATCTGAAGCTACTGGATCCACAGCCCCCTGTGTAGCAGTTTCTAGATCCATAGCCCAGGGAACGGCAGCTGCTGGATCCAAAGCTCAGAGGCCCAGCATATGATCCCTGGCAAGGACTGCAAAGTGTGGAGCTCCTCGGGTAGTAGCAGGCTGTCTGGCAGGGCTTGGACACCACGCAGGACCTCTGGCAGCTGGTGGGCTCAATGCAGGTCTCCTGACATCCGGTGTTCACAGAGGATTCCACCTGGCATGGGCTGGACACCACGAAGGACCTCTGGCAGCTGGTGGGCTCAATGCAGGTCTCCTGACATCCGGTGTTCAGAGAGGATTCCACCTGGCAGGGCCTGGGAGAGCAACTGGTAGTGGTGTAGACCAGGTTGCTGGGGTAGGAAGAGCCACAGGAAGAAGCTGAATATGGCTGGCAACGTCTAAATGAGCAGGAGGAGAAGTTTCCAGAGCAGCAGCTGTAGGCCATGTTGAGAGAAGATGTGAGCTCAGCTGGATGCAACTGAGAGGATTCTGAGTTTGGATCTCACCCTGTGGAGAGCTGAGTTTATATACTCTC